AAACCAAAGATGCCTTTTAAAAAACAAGTTTACATCATATTCTTATGCATGCCAGTGCTGTGTGTGAGGTAACTTAAGGTGGTTCTGACAAGTGTGGTCGGCACCTTCATATCCGGTCACATGGGCAGCAAGCTACTCCCATCCGGTCACATGGGCGGCAAGCCACTCCCACAAAGGAGGCCAGAGTAGGTTCGAACAATTTTTGTAACCCACCACTGGTGCTATTACTATTGCTATGGTACGAAAGATAACTTCCAACTTCCTCTTTTGCAGGGAAACAAAATGTGGAATGTCAGCGTCAAGTCAATGAATCATGAAACCAGTGAAAAGAAAATTGAGATTACCCAAACTCTCCTCCAAGACCTCTTGCAGTTCACTCAAGTCCTTCAAAATGAAGCCGTGTCTCTCATTGGGTTTGTGAGAAGCCAATTCGTTAATATTTTCAACGTCGACGTCAGGGCCGTTACCAAAGGCATAAACATCTAGGCATAAATGTGGACAGAAGCATACGTGACGGAGAGGAATAGCGCCGTGCAACCAATAATCGTTTCTCCACGTTAAAATTGCATTACAGAAAAATCCTTTCAAGCAACACACGGAAAAACTATTTTGCACAGTTAAAGGTCATAGATAAAAGAGAGACGAGAGTTTTAGCGGTACAGCGATAAATAAGGCAAGGAATTCAGGGAAATGAAATAAAACAATCAATGCCCCAACTGGCCAGGAGGGAGAGGTGCAGCAAAGGTGAAATGAAGCCATCTGGCTCATGGATCGTCATCTTACCCAAATGATCATCCCGAGGGTTTGGGGAAGAGCTGCCAATTTTAAGAAACTTCTTTATCTGTTGGATGATCAAAGATGGTGAGCCCCCCAAGTTGTAGTTTCCTAGAAAAAGAAAGATTATTGCGAAGAGTCATTCTCACCTGTCATACGGTTATTTGGGAGTAAGGTGAGGGAAGGAACGGAATATTATGGATTTTTTTAAAAAAAGTTTTTTTACTCAGTCCTGGATTCTACTTCCAGCAGTTTTCAAAAGCACTTTGGCACAATAACAGCTTTCATTGCCTTCAGTTCTTTGTCTACCCCTTCCTTCCTTCCCTCCCTCCCTCTTTCCCTATCTCTCCTTCCCTTTCCATCACTTTCTTCCTGCCTCCTTTCCTTTATCCCTCCCTTCCTTATTTTCTCCCTCCCCCCCTTTGCCTCCTTCTTTCCTTTCTGCCTAACTCCTTTCCTCCCTTTCCCTTTTGCTTCCTCCCTCCCTCCCTTTTCTCCCTCCCTTTATTCCTTCCTCCTTCCTTCCTCTTTCCTCATTCCTTCCCTCCCTCCATCTCCCTCTCTCTATCTCTTTCCCTATCCCTCCTTCCCTTCCCTTTATCCCTTTCTTCCTGCCTCCTTTCCTTCATCCTCCCTACATTTCCTCCATCCCTCCCTTTCTTCCTCCTTCCTTTTCCTCCTTCTCTTCTTTCCTTTCTTCCTACCTCCTTTCTTCCCTTTTCCTTTTGCTCTCTCCCCCTCTCTCTTTCTCCTTCCCTTTCCCTCCTTCCCTTTTCTCCTTCTCCTTCCTCCTTTCTTCCCCTTCCTCATTTCCTTTCTCCCTCCCTCTCTTCCCTTCCTTCCCTTCCTTCCTTCCTCCTTTCCCTTTCCTTCCCTCCCTCCCTTTCCTTCCCTTCCCAGACAAGTTGAGGCCCTTGTATGAAATGGTGCTTGACATTTGAAATGACTGTTGGCTTCTCTTATAATCTTTTTAAGGTACTCTAAAAATTCTTTCTCAAACAACAGAACAAGAGCAACCAAAAGAACTCAAGAGTTTGCATGGGTCCTCTTGATCTGCTCACCATCCGTTAGGAGAATAATGATGTGACGAGTTGTGGTGGAGACAGGAGGGGGATTCAGCCCCCGTCGCACCTCTTCCTCCTCCTGCGCAATCATCATTTCATAGACAGATCGAAGGCCTTTCCCGATGTTGGTTCCAGGCTTCAGCTCATGTGCTGGAAAATCAAAATGCAGAGTTGAACAGGGCATTAGTTGGTGAGGCTTAATAAGCCCCAATAAGCCTAACAGAGGAAACATGAAATGAAAAGTCCTTGGTGCTGTCTGAACTTGATTGTTGTCTTGTTTCGTTAACCACACCAGATAACACCATCAGTGCTGGTAAGAAGTGGGATTTGCTCTCAGTTTAGATTCTTGTGCCTTGCCCTCTCTGTGGGGTTGGTCTTAGAGGTTCTTTGGCTGGGCTGTTTACTATTGGTTCTTTAGCATTTTCTCAATTGGGGTATTGTTTACTTTGTCAGAAGAAATATCCATCTGGTTCAGTTCCAAGTGGGGAGCAAAACACTGGAAACATGGAGGCTGATTAGAAAGATGCTTTATTGATGGACAGGACCCCATGGGTTTGAGGTCCTGGTGCAGCTGACCACATAGAGCAGAGCATGAGAGTTATTTATAATAGCCCTCTCTTGGCTTTGAAGTTGAGCTTCCTGTTCCTGTGGCAAGAGCATACGTTCTATTGGTTCCTGTAGGGATCAACTTTTTAGATTGCCTGAGTTAAGTTTGGTTGAAGCCTGGACTCTCCGAGACGATGTAATGAGGAGGCTTGTGTCCTCCTGAAAGGGTGTTGGGCCATCCCTATTGTGTCTTAATGGCTTTCCTGGTTGGGATCTTGAGTGAAGGCTGATCCTACCCTTCTATCTAATTCTGCCTTTGTTCAAAATATCCTGTCTTGAATGGATTACCATATTTCTAAAAGCTGGCCTCAGCTTAGTATCTTGTATAGGGGAAGTGAACTGTGGATCTGAGTTTCTGTCTCCCTTAAGATTTCTATTCCTCTTTTAGGGGAAATATAATATTCTGCCTTTTTAATATTCCCGAAAACATTTCATACTTGGGCTGAGTGGCTCAGACACTGAGCTTGTTGTTCAGAAAGGTCGGCAGTTTCACGGTTCGAATCCCCAGCAACGTGTAATGGAATGAGTTCCCGTTACTTGTCCCAGCTTCTGCCAACCTAGCAGTTCAAAAGCATGTAAAAATGCAAGTAGAAAAAATAGGAACCACCTTTGGTGGGAAGGTAACAGTGTTCCATGCGCCTTTGGCGTTTAGTCATGCTGGCCACATGACCACAGAGATGTCTTCAGACAGTACTGGCTCTTCGGCTTTGAAATGGAGATGAGCATCGCCCCCTAGAGTCAGGAATGACTAACATATACTGTATGTGCGAGGGGAACCTTTACCTTTACCTTAAAACATGTCATTCTTCTCATGGCACGACAAAACCGCGCTCAACTAAGCCGCGCCCGATTAAACCGCGTCGCTGACGTCATCAACAGGGCGACAACAGTGAGCGTGGAGAAAGAAGGGCGCTTTAAATAGCGCTTTGAAAGCAAGCCGATTCAACTTAAGGTAAGGGTTAGGTTTAGGGTTAGGTTTAGGGTTAGGTTTAGGGTTAGGTTAAGGGTTAGGGTTAGGTTTAGGGTTAGGTTAAGGGTTAGGGTTAGGTTTAGGGTTAGGTTAAGGGTTAGGATTAGGTTTAGGTTTAGGGTTAGATTAAGGGTTAGGTTTAGGGTTAGGTTTAGGGTTAGGTTAAGGGTTAGGTTTAGGGTTAGGTTTAGGTTTAGGGGTTAATTTTAGGTTTAGCGTTTACAGCGTGCTTCTGTCTCCGCGCTGTTGTCACGCTGTTGATGACGTCAGTTACGCGGTTTCGTCGAGCGCGGTTTAGTCGAACGCGGTTTTGTGGTGGAACCCATTCTTCTAGGAGGGGTGGGTGCTAACTTTCTAAAACTTTTTGATTATTGGTCTGATATTAACCTAGGCTCATCAGAGAGCATCAAGGACTCTTCCTTACAACCCTGAGCTGCAAATATTTTCCTGCATTGTAACATGAGATGGGGAAAAAAGCATCTCTACAGCTAACAGGAAATCAACAGAGTGTCCTGAGATATACAGCTGCTCCACATTTAGCAATTATCTTGATTAGTTGTCTTTGGGGATTCTCAGCCATCCAAGGTCATGGCTGTCCCAAAGGTACTTTATTTTCCCCAAAAGGCAACTGGACTTTGTTTTTCCTTGAAGACACTTCACTTCTCATCCAAGAAACTTCTTCAGTTCTGACCAGGGGTGGGCTGCTGAGGGTTCGGGAGAACCTCTAGCTAAGATTCTGTGCAGTTTGGAGAACCCCCAAATCCCACTCCTGGCTGGTCCTGCCCACCCCTCCCCTCCCCTCCCAGGAGTCCCCATGCGGCCCATTTTAGATGCAGATAAGTGCAAGGTGTGTGCGGAGGCTCAAGGAGGGTGAAAAAAACGGGCCTACTGGAAGTTCAAGAAAACCAAAAACAGGCCTGTTTCCAGCCTCCAGAGGGCCTCCGGAGCCTGGGGAGGCCATTTTCGCCCTTGCGGAGGCTCAAGGAAAGCTTCCAGAGCCCAGGGAGAGCAAAAATGCCCCCCCCTATGGTGCATGAGCCCGATTAGGCCACTCCCACCATGGCCACGCCCATCCAGCAGAGAACCCCTTGCTAAAAATTTTGAAGCCCACCCCTGGAAATCTCCTGTTTACAACACAGTCCTTTTAGCATTTCCAAGAAGGCTTCACGCCCCTTTGCACTATTCAGGTGACCCTGAGGGCACAGATAAACGTTCTCCAAGCAGCCCTCAACGACTCTGGTCAGTTAATGACCAGATGACTGCAAGGAATATAAATTTTTCCATCTTCCACCATTCAGTTAGTACTGAAGGAGCTTCTTGCATGTGGAGCGAAATGTCTTCAAAAAAAAAAACAAACCCAGAAAGTTTTTCAAAGCCCAGTTGTCTTTTTGAAAAAAAGCACCTGTGGGACTATCTTGGTTAGCGACCATCCACAAATATAATGGTTGTTAGGAATATAATCTAACGGTTGGGTTGGCAATTTATAAATCATGTAACAATACTATACCTGTTTCTTTAAATCATACTGTAAAATGTGATTGGTTGCTNGAATAGGTGTGAACTGGTAGGAACCCACCTCTGTGGTGGTGCTGATGTTAATAATCCACAGTTGTTACCTCCTTCCAGCTGTTGATTCTCTTGGTTTCTTTACATTAGCAGTTTCCAAGAGCTATCGGCCAGGAGACAGTATCTCCTGGCACGTTGCAACTCTTTAAAAGTCATCATGGTATCTTCTTGTTTGGAATTCCTCTCTGGAATGACAAGTGATGATAACTTTTAAAATTCCTATCAGATTGGTTGACGTTCACCATTTAACTAGGTGAGGTATATTTTTTGCAGATTGACCCCGTAGCCTTGAGCAATGCACATAAATGCGGCCTAATCAACAGATAATAACTACATTACTGAGACTAAGCATTGTTGAGACATCACATGCTTGAAACTAAAATTGCACTTCGTTTTGAGGCATTCCCTGGTTCTGTTAAGATATATAGTACTTGTAACACAGGCTGGTTGCTCGTTCTAATCAAACCTTCCTTCTTCGATTGAAGCAGTGGGCTACCCTTGAAAAGGATCTGGAAATGCATTTGATGCAAATCCTGGCAGCTGAGCTGTTAACGTTTGCAAGATAGGAGGATCATATGATGCCTCTGCTGAAAGTTGGGCATTGATAATTGATTGACTGTTGGGCAGAATTTAACCAGCTGGTATTGCCCTTTAAAGGCTCTGTGGCTTAGTGACATTTAAAGGCCCCGTGGCTTAGGGCCTTTCCAATGGATTGCATCTCCTGCTTTCAACTTGTCCAGTTGTTAGGAGCTTCAGGGGAAGCTTTTTTTGAATGTGTTTCTACTATCAGAAGCTTCCCTTTGTGGTGTATGGGAGTGGGGCTTTCGCTAATGACGTTCCCAGGCTATGGAATACATTTCTAGGGGAATTGTGTGGCTCTCACTCTCTCAGCATTTCGGAAATCTGAAACGGTTAATCTTGTTTTTCAGGGTTAGATAAGTTTGTTAGACTACAGTTTATTTTAATGTTTTCAACTATTTTTAATTTTTATAATTTTTTCCCCACTTCTTATTTAGCTGTGTTGAGTGCCTGCCCAAGAGTAAGAATGCAGAGTACAAGTAAATCAGTATAAATGGCCCTGAAACTTCCAAGGAATGTCAAATGAGATAAGACACAGAAGATTATCTTATGGTAGAAGGAAATTGTAATGTAAAGAGACAGGATAAAGTATAAATGCATTAATACCCTGTTTCCCTGGAAATAAGACCTCCCCGGATAATGATCTGAATCAAGTTTTTGACTGCATGCACTAAAATAAATCCTCCCCGAAAATAAGCCCTCCCTGAAAATATTGCAACGGTTCCACCACAAAACCGCGCTCGACTAAACCGCGCCCGACTAAGCCGCGTCGCTGACGTCATTAACAGGGCGACAACAGTGCAGAGACAGAAGCATGCTGTAAA